TAAAGTTTTTTATAATTTAAAGTTATTTTAAAGGCCAGCCCCCTGGCTCACTTAGGAGAGTGTGGTGCTGATAACACCAGGGCCATGCATTCGGATCCCTATATAGGGATGGCCGGTTAGCTCACTTGGGAGAGCGTGGTGCTGACAACACCAAGTCAAGGGTTAAGATCCCCTTACTGGTCATCTTTAAAATAGATAGATAGATGATAGATAGATAGATAGATAGATAGATAGATAGATAGATAGATAGACAGATAGATAGATAAAAAGTTATTTTAAAACCATGGACATTTTTGGAAATCGTTTTTTCCCATATAATAACTGAATTTTCAGAATTAGCTCCTGCTGTGAAGAGTACCATTATGTGTTTGAGACAAAGCAATATTAAGACACAAGAGTTAAATTCCTTTGATTTTTAAAAATATTCAATATGCATAATTTAATAATGGTAAGAGATATAACTTATTGGAACTGTTCAATGAGCCAGGTATTGGAATTTACTCATTTTCAAAAAGAATTTGGCCAAGATCAAGTAGCTCATTTCTCTGTACCATGCACCGCTTACAGGTCACTTTACAAAAAAACCAGTAATGTTAGGAACCCAGATAACTTCCCTCATTTAAAAGAAAAAACCTCTCATTATCTGATTCAATGATTCATAGGGCTGTATAAATGCCACTGATCAAATGGACATCATGAATCATCACATTCTGAGGCCTCCAGAGTCTTCTAGGAAAGCACCTCTAACTTAATACAGTTTCCTCAGACTTGCAAATGTTGTCTTTTACACTTGTCAATGATTAAACAACTCTTTAGCACTAGTATTTAGGACTATTTACCTCAAGTAAAGCACTTGAACTTGCTAGACTTGGAATCTTCTTCTCCCCCCACTTTCTGGAAGTGCTTCCAACAATGGAAAGCAACTTTCTTTTCTGAAAATAGGAAACAAGACTGAAAGCACCTGGGGTGTAGCCAAGTACACAAATGGACACGTATAGGGTTGGCTTGAACTGAGATAAAAGAACATTAGCTTCACTAGCAAAGTGTGTGGTTCTCTGCCTTCAGACTCTCCCACTTGGATTTGTAGGAAGAGAGGAGATCTTCAAAATACAAAATAAAGCCTGTTTCCTGTAGCAACATTCAATATTTGTTTCTTTTTCTTAAACCTAAGTAAAAAGAGAAAATTTTAAGCTTTAAAAAAAAATTGCAGTAAAACATATGTGACGTTGACCACTGTAACCATTTTCAAGTATATGGTTCAGTGGCATGAAGTACGCTTATGCTGTGGTGCAAGCATCACCACCCTCTGTCTCCAGAACTCTTCTCATCCCAGACTGAAACTCTACCCACTGAACACTGACTACCCATCACCCCTTCCCCATCCCCTGGTAACCGCCTTTCTACTTTCTGTCCCCATGAATTTGACTACTTTAGGTACCTCACACACGTGGAATCACACAGAATTTGTGTCTGGCTTATCTCAGCATGTTTTCAAGGTTCATCCCTGTTGTAGCATGTGTCAGAATTTCCCTCCTTTTTAAGGCTGAATAACATTCCACTGTGTGCATATACTACATTTTGCTTATCCATTCATCGAGGAGAGACGTTTGGGTGGTTTCCACCTTTTGACTTCTGTGGATAGTGCTCCTGTGACCATTGGTGCACTTAACTGAACAACATCTTAAATCACAGTGGAGTTGTGTCTCTTCATCTGTCCCCTCCTGTGGGCTCTGTCCCGCTCCAGGACCCAAGCCTACTCAGCCATGGTGTAGAGAGAATTAAAAAAAAAAAAATCCCTTTGCTTTTACCCTTTCTCCCTTGGCTGGACTTTGTCTAGCCAGGTTTATTTATAAACCACGCAAAGTTCATTAACAAGAGCAAGCATTTCAGCCAGCCACCTTTCCTCCTTCATCACTGCAGGAAGGCACTCCCAAGGGATCCGTCGGTGAGACATGGCTGAGGACAGGAGCAAGAGATACTCTACGGAGATGAATATGATGGGAGGCCGGACAAACAATGGCTTTGTCCAAAATGAAGACTCTCCGGAGCGGGACCCGCAGCCAGGCGGCTCAGGGGACACCCCGCAGCACAGCGTCGTGGGCGTCCTGCACACGGAGGAGCCCAAGGAGAAGGGCGTGCAGCCCTACGCGGGGATGCCCAAGGAGGTGCTCTTCCAGTTCTCGGGCCAGGCCCGCTACCGCGTGCCCCGAGAGATCCTCTTCTGGCTCACTGTGGCTTCTGTGCTCCTGCTCATTGGGGCCACCATCACCATCATCGCCATCTCTCCAAAGTGCCTCGACTGGTGGCAGGAGGGGGCCATGTACCAGATCTACCCGAGGTCTTTCAAGGACAGCGACAAGGATGGGAATGGAGATCTGAAAGGTACGTGCATGCTCCGAGACAATTCAGGAAGGGAGCCAGGATGAGGTGGGTTTATGCTCTCATTCCTCGAAACTGAATTATGCCTGGGCTGTGCGGTAAGCACATTCCGGTATGACTGGTCATACCAACTTTCTCCTTGTTTATGATATATTAAGAAAGTCACTCAGCAGAACACAGCAATTCTTCAACTTGATGAAAGGCCATCTGCTGAAGGCCTCTGAGCCGAGTTGTTTAACATATTGCCTACTAAGTACATATGCTCGTTTGGTCATCAATTCTAACTTCTGACAGGGAGCAGGCTTTCTCCTAAACTACCTTTAGGAGAAAGCAGAAAACTCTGTTTCCTGCTTCTGTGCATTTGATAGTTGAGTATCTCAGAGCCACAGTTGAGAATTGCTTTCCCAGTATTTGATGTGGCTAGTTTGGCAGTCTGGCTGAGAGTTTAATAGTGAATAGAGTATAAATAGCATTTTAGAAAAAAATTAAGTGATGTCTTTAAAAGGTGTAGGCCAAGCCCTTATGTTTAAATCTAGAGGAATGAATGCTAGGAAAAAAGACAGTGTGTTGGCCATTACTTGAATCAAAGATTATTTAAAATAATATCTATATTAGTATAAAAATAGAAGTGAAAATTATTTTTTTAAAAGTTAAGCTAATAATTTCCTGGTCCCTGGGGAGTTATGTGTCCTTATAATTTATTGCTCAAAACAGGACTATTTTAAGAGTAAAATTATGCCAGACAGTAGCATAAATTGGTATTTTTCCTGTGCAAAATTGGTTGTTATGGTCACCCTAGTAAAAGGTAACAATAAGAAACAAATAATTAATAAACAAGCTAATTTTTACAATGATCATTGGTTTGAAGAAAATAACACAGGATGATATATGGTAGAGTGTAGGAGGTAGGAATGGGCTTAATCTATCTTTAAAATGCTACAAATAAACTCCTGAAATCCCCAACTTTCCTTGATAACTAATAAAAGGCTTTTCTTTTTCATCTCATGTCATTGTCTCTCTTTTTAAAAAATCTTCCTGCATCTTCACTAATTGGAGAATAGTGTAACTGTCCTTCAAGGTGCAGCTCAAACCCATGAAGTGACTTCATTAATCTTTATTTAACCTTCCTAATCAAAGCATGGGTTCCCCTCCCCAGACTCTCCTGGTGCTTTGGGCTGTGTTTAAAGCACCCTTTCATACTGCCTTCTAACTTATCTCCATGACTTCCCTTCTGCCTGCCACTGACCCTAGCACCTGCTGTCTTTTACACAGCAAGGGCTTAGCAAAAGTGATGTTTTGACTGAATAGAGCTAAAAATCCCTAAATCCAGTGATACAACCCCCACTTCCTGACCCTTCCTAATATCCTTCTAGGTAGACCCAAATTCTGATAAACATGGCAGTTTCTAATCAGCTCTTACATTGTCATTTGCTCTAACTTTTCCTTGAGGTACTGGTTCCTTCTTGTAAACAATAAGCATTTGTTCTTGAGGCTGAGAGGATCTTGTTACTATTCTGAAGAAACCATTCCAGGTTTTAGTTTGTTTTTGGTGATTGCCTCTGTCCCCTGGAGAGTGGGGCTGGATCCCTTGTTTACTTTGTGTCTGTTCAGCCCCCTTTGTTTTTGTCCTGGTGTTCTTTCTGGCTTTTCTTAAAATACATCATGTATATTGTGTTTCTGTTCTGGCTTAAATCAAAACCTTTTTGTTGCCTGTTGATACTCTGTGAGATGTCACAGCCCTCAATACGGGGGAATTGAGGCTCAAAGAAGACAGAAATAAGCAGCCTGTGATAGAGGAGGAGCCCAGATCCCAGATGTCAGGTGACTTTGTGCTTTGGTCTCAGTGAACTCCAACCTGCTGTGTGGCCTCTGACAGGCTCTGATTCTAGGAAGTCATAATGAGATTATGCAGAAAGTTATTGGATGTCGACTACTAGGCTCAAATCTCTGAATCTGTATTTAGGACTCTGAACTAGAAGCAAAAAACATACTATCTGCTAATTACCCTATAAGGTTCCAAGTACAAAGAGTTTCTCTTCCATATCTCTTCTTAGCTAAGCCTAGAATTCTCTTCTGTATAAAGTATTGGCTTCCTACATAAGTGAACAAGGAAAAAGGTCCAAATTCAGCTACTTTAAAGACTGTCTGAGAGTGGAACAAAAGACCCCTCAAATATTGATGCAAACTTCACTTCCATCTCATTGCTGTTCTTCCTTAGTCTCTATACTCTGTGCAGCATTTCTTACCCTTTTTTAGACAAGCTCTGTCTGAGCCTGGTTACTCCTTTCCTTTGCTTTTTCTGGAAGCCCTTCACTCTGACCCCCCTTGCACACACCCTCTTGTGACTGTCTCTGTCCCTGCTCCCGGGGGTCATCAGCTTCCTGCACCCGAGGCAGTCAGGGGCTTGCAGCTTGGCTCCCGTAAAGCACTTTCCACAGCTATTCCCCAATTTGGTCATCATCCCATTCCTGCCTGTTCAAACTTTACCACACCAGCACTGTCTAAGGGAAATAGAATGCGAGCCACATATGTAATTATCAATTTCCTAGTAGCCACATTAAAAAAAAAAAAAAGGAACAGGTGGAATTTTTTATTATTATTATTATTTTTACAATGTAGTTGATTTTTGTTGCCCTTCACCAATTGGAATTAATTTTAATACAACATTTTATTTAATCCAATATATCCAATATGTCATTTCAACATAAAATCAGTATAAAAGTAGTAACAAGATATTTTACATTCTTTCTTTTTGTACTAGATCTTCAAAATCCGGTCAGTGTTTTACTTTTAAGGCACATCTCAGTTCAGACTAGTAACATCGCGGGTGCTCAATAGCCACATGTGGCAAGTGGCTGTCGTACAGGCCAGTGCAGCTTAGTCAGGGGCCATGTGTTACTTGAAGAAGAATAACTTCTTTGTTCCTTGGTGCTAAGCCCAGCAACTGGCCTAGATTAGGTGCTCGAAAGCCTTGTGTAGAATAGATTAACAATACTATAATCTTGGTTTTAAATATGAAATATAAACAAGTCACAGATAGATTTTTAAATGTTGTGCATTTATGTTAAAGGTCAAAGATTATTGCTGGAAGACTAATTGATGTTATTCATAGAGCTAGACCTTGCTATTCGAATTTTATTCAAATTCAATAAAATTCCAAATATTTCTGTCTTCGAAATAAGTATTTCAATGTCAGGCACATTCATTTTATTGTTACTACTTCAACTAAAATAAAATAGGATTTACTCATGGCCTTGACTTTTTTCTTCAGGCATTCAAGATAAACTGGACTACATCACAACTTTAAATGTAAAAACTATTTGGATTACATCATTTTATAAATCATCCCTTAAAGACTTCAGATATGGTGTTGAAGATTTCCAAGAAATTGATCCCATTTTTGGAACAATGGAAGATTTTGAGAATCTGGTTGCAGCCATACATGATAAAGGTAAATTAAATGGGAGTGGGTGGAATGGGCATGAGGGTTGAGAAAAGCACTTCTCTAAATGCTTACTTAGAGCATTTTTTTCCTTAACGGTCGTGTATTATTCTACTATAATCTTCTCCTAACATTTGAAATGTTTTCACTCATTAGGTTTAAAATTAATAATTGATCTTATACCAAACCATACCAGTGATAAACATGCTTGGTTCCAATTGAGTCGGACACGGACAGGGAAATATACTGACTATTACATCTGGCATGACTGTACCCATGAAAATGGCATAACCATACCACCCAACAACTGGGTAAGTACTAACTTGCCTAATTTACAACGGGAAAATGGGAAGATCTGCAGCGATTAATCTGGTTATTTATGAAGCCCTTTTAAGTAAAAACATTAATGGATATAGTTTATGGGAAGAGGAAAAAGTTTCCCAAAGAAGTAGAAATAGGGCACCCAGGCCTACAAATATCATTTAGATTTCTGATTTTATTGTAGAGCTGATGTGTTCTAGCAAATTAAAACCTATACTCTCTACTAGCCTCCCCTTCCCTCTTTCCCTCACTTCCCACCTTGTCCAACTTAGATTCCACATCCCGTTAGTTCAGTAACTATTTTGCTACTATCCAGACCTCTTTGTCTTTCTGATCTCTGACTCCCCTTTCGGACAAAACCCTAGCCAGAGATGAACCCAGTCATCTACTTTCTCTTTGCCTGAATCTTGGTATCTGAGCCTCTGGAGACATCACATACTCATTGTCCCCACCTGAACTGAGCCATCTAATCTTCTTGGAAATTTTACTAAATCCAACTGATCAGCATGCCCTCCCTCCTTCTCTTCAAACATCCTACCTGGCTCCTTCCCATCTTATCACTCTCAGCAGCAAACTACTTCACAGAGAGGAGCAATAACAAGAAATGAATTAGTGGTCCTCACAACTACATGGATGAATCTCAAAATAACTATGCAGAGTGAAAGAAGACAGGCAAAAAAGAGTACATACTATATGATCCCACTTATATGAAAATCTAGAAGATGCAAACTAATCCATAGTGATGGGAAGCAGAGTAGTGTTTGTTTAGGGATGGCAGGGCTGCTGGGAGGGGCAGGAGGAAGGGATTACAAAGGCATGATTAGGACTGGCCAGTGGGCTGAGCTGATTAAAACGAGGTGCTGATAACACCAAGGTGCAGGGTTCGCTCCCTGCACCGGCCAGCTGCCAAAAAAGAAAAAAAAAAAAAAAAGAAAGAAAAAAAAAGCCATGAGGATGGATATGTTCACTGTTTTGATTGTGGTAGTGGTTTCTTGAGTGTATACATGTCAAAACCGATCAAACAGTGCTCTTTACTTTTTGTTTTGGTTTTGGTGGCTGGCTGGTAAGAAACTGTATACTTTAAATATGTGCATTTTATTATATTCAGTTATACCTGAACAAAACTAAAAATATATGTAAAATATCTAAGCTGTGGAAGATAGTAATAGGGGGTGTCAATGAACCTACCCCCCCCCCTGCAAATTAAGAACTCGAATGTGACCAACACTGTCGTGCTCCTGTGGTCTACTCCCTCATCCCTTCCCCTGCTTTCTCTTAGGGAAAACCACGACTTTGAATTTTGGGTTTTACCAGGTCCTTGCCTTTTGTTTTGCCCATACCACATATGCTGTATATATTTAACATTTTAATTTTTTTAGTTTCCCTTGTTCCAAATTTTATGATAAGTAATTAGCTTTTTTTCACTCCTTGTTTTAATGATGTATTCATGTAGTTTTGGGTAGCTGTGGTTCATACATTATCACTGTTGTGTAATATTCCATCGTGTGCATATTCCATGATTTCCTTGTCCACTCTTCAGTTGATGGGCAGTTGGGCTGTTTCCAGTTTTTTTTGCTATTGTTAGTAATGTCATTATAAACACTCTCATTAGTCTATTTCTCTTGGGGCATGTGTGCAAAAGCTTCTTTAAGGTAAATAAGTAGGAGTGAGATTGCTGTGCAGGATACTGCATCATCATCTGTATAAGACAATGTTAAACTGATTATCAAAGTGGTTATACCAATTTATATCTCCTCCAGCAGTATAAAAAAATACATATTCTCATTCATTCCTGGTATTGTCAGGCTTTGTAATTTTTGCCATTCAAGTGAACATAAAATAGTATCATACTGAGATCTTCATTTTACATTTACTAATGATGATTTATCTAATTACTGATAATGTTGAATCGTTTTTTTACATTTATTCACTTGAGCTTCCATTTATGTGAAACACCAGTTTATGATTTCTTTCCCAAATTTTCTTTTGGATTATTTGTCCCTTTGAAATTGCTTTCTGCTTTCTGGAGTTCTTTTTGTATTCTGGACACTAATCTTTTTTTCTGCAACATAATAACCAACAGAGGATTTACTCAGAACATAGAAAGAGGTTCTCCAAATCAATATGTGAAGAAGAAACTGTCCAATTAAAAATGGACAAAAGTCTTGAGAAGGCACTTAAGAGGGGAAATTCAAGGCCAATAAACATAGAAAGTAGTGTTCAACTTTATTATTAATTTTTTTGGGTGGCTGACTGGTATGGGGATCTGAACCTTTGACCTTGGTGTTATAACACTACACTCTAACCAACTGAGCTAACTGGCCAGCCTAACCTTATTACTAATTAAGGAAATTCAAACTAAACCATCACACACGCACTAGACTGGCAAATATTTAAAAGACTGACAATACCAAATGTTGGCAAAGATATGGAGTAACACGGACTTACATGAAATGCTAGTTAAGGTATAAGCTGATACAAATATTTTAGAAAATATATTGGCACTTAAGATATACAGCTTCTATAATTCCATTCCTAGATATATGGCCCATAGAAATTTGTGCATATATACACCAGGAGATGTGTACAAGAATGTTCTTAATGACATTACTTCCAGTAGTCAAAACTGTGAAACAGCATAAATGTCCACTGACAGTAGTGTGGATAAAAAATGTTGAGATGTATTCATGCAATAAAATAACATTTCAGTAAAGATTAACAAGTGATAGCTATATAGAACAAGATGGATAAGTCTCACAAATACGATGTTGAACAGAAGCAGCCAGACAAAATAATACTTACCATATAATTCCATTTATATAAAATTCAAAAACAATCCATGAATTTTCAGACTCTCTCAATTCCCCCTTCATTTCTGCTTGTAAATTAACTTGATTCCTTTTTGAGCTCATCTCATTTACTTTTTTAAATTGAAATGTATTGATTATACATATTCATGGGGTACAGAGTTATACTTCAGTATGTGTATACAATGTTCAGTGATCAAATCAGGGTAGTTAGCAAATTCATCACTGCAAAAATTTATTGTTTTTTTGTGATGAGGACATTTAAGCTCCTCTCTTCTAGCCGTTTGAGAACATACAAATCATTGTTAATTATAGATGCGTAGCACTACTGTACACCACTAGAACTTATTTTTCTATCTAGCTGTAATTTTGTGTCTATTAACCAACCTCTCACCATAACCCTCCCTCTCTCCTTTCCAGCCTCTCATAACCACTGTTCTATTGTTCTATTCTCTGCTTCTAAAAGTTCAACACACCACTAGAACTTATTTTTCTATCTAGCTGTAATTTTGTGTCTATTAACCAACCTCTCACTATAACCCTCCCTCTCTCCTTTCCAGCCTCTCATAACCACTGTTCTATTGTTCTATTCTCTGCTTCTAAAAGTTCAACTTATTATTATTATTTTTTAGCTCCCACATATGAATGAGAACATAGGATACCGATCTTTTTTTGGTTATATAGACTGTAAATATCTTATCCTGGCTTGTGTCCAGGTGGGCCATCTGGTGAACTCGGGAGGGCATGTTTCCCTAAAAGGTAGCAACTACCTAGTTTTAACTAGTAGTTTCAGCAGTTTCAACTAGTCATTGCTATGGAAGTGTAGACCCAGTGTGACTAGGTCTTCCAACTATAAGAAAAAAATTTATGCAAAATCCCCCAGTTTTTAAGTGTTTTCCAGATGCATTCTCTAGTATAAACAAAAGGCCTAGAATAGAGCCCCAAGAAACTCACATTTAAGGGGACACAGAGTAGACTAAGAAGGAGTGGCCAGAGATGTGGGAGGGCAACCAGGAGAGTCATGTCATGGAGACACTGACACGGGCATTACTGAAGGAGGAAATCAACCACAGTGCCAAACATTGCTGGGTACCAGCACTTGAAATTGCTAGATTTTTATTCCTGAGTTTTTAATTGAATGATTCTAATAATTTTTGGATACAACTGAAATATTCGGTCTATCTGGAATACAAGCTCCAAGACCAATGAGAATGTGTCTTTCCCTCAAATTGATCACCATTTGCTTTTCTTCACAAGCAGAAGTCCAGAGACTGGACAGAAGATTCAAGAAAATATGTTAGTAATGTTTGTTCCTTAAGTTGGCCTGATCTAGAATTTGAAAACACTGGTTTACTATTGGGGTTGTTATGAACAGCTTCTACTGTACAAATACATTCCAACCCATTTGTGGGGCATTAGGCCAACAGGTAGTATTTTGGGGATTAGTTTAGCTAGTGGTCTCCCTAGAAGGGAAACTCTCAGGATTTACAAGCTCTGCCTATGTGGGGCTAAGGACGAAAATGATTATTTCTTCGTGTAACTGATGTGCTCTTTCTCTGTTTGCTAGTTAAGTGTATATGGAAACTCCAGTTGGCACTTTGACGAAGTACGAAAACAGTGTTATTTTCACCAGTTTATGAAAGAGCAACCTGATTTAAATTTCCGCAATCTTGACGTTCAAGAAGAAATAAAAGTGAGTATAGACACCCATAAATAACTTGAGTGGTTATTTGAAACACTTTATATTGAACAGTAATTGTCCAGGCAAAATCAAATAGTATTATTAAATTCCAGAATTAAGGTATCTGATACAAATACAGACACTCAGATGTGTCAGTGGCTCCTTTCTTCAACTAACCCAGAAACATCTAAATGGAAGGGGGGCAGAAACACCTGTGGCCTTGGCTACGAGTTGCCCCTCAGCCTATGACAATGAGCTGGTGCAGGGAGGTAGGTCAGAACGTGGGCTTCGGGGTTTGGTTTCTGTGTCTGCAGTGGGCTTCTGGGTGAGTCTGGCTTTCTTGTGTCTCAGATCCCTTACGTGAGAAACACAGTTAATGGCAGCATTTGTCTCATAGGGCTGTTGGAAGATTAGTTGACATAACCCATGCACAGCACTTCTGCGTTCATTCAATAAACATAAACTCATTGCCTGCTCCTGCCAGGCCCTATCCTAAGCACTGGGAATGCAGAGTGAATGAAAGAAGCCCTGCCCTGCAATATACTGAGGGGAAAGCAGACAGTTAACGACTGAATAGATAATATGTCAGGAGGTGATGAATGCTCAGGGGAAGGGACATTGGAGTGCCTGGCAGGAGTTGCTTTGCTAGATCAGATGGTTAGGAGACACCCTCTTGCTGGGCTGGGTCACAGACCCTTCACACCTGTTGTGCAGACTGGGTCACAGACCCCTGCTATGCAGGTTGTGAGCTAGGTAATTGGAAAAAGATCCTGGGAGTCATGGGTAAAGTTGATAGGCTTTATTTGGATGTAAACTCAGGTAACTAGCAGCAGCCCCCGCAGCAGCCTCCAGTGGTCCCCTGGTGGCCTACCTGGGACATCCTGGGGACACTGTGGATCAGAGCCGTTTGTCCTTTATACTTAAGTCAGGTAACCAGGTATACCTGGGTGCAAGTCAGATAACCAAGGAACACCTGAGCGCACATGCCCAGTTACATCAAACAGTCAAGGTCATGCTCAGCAAGATTCTGAACAGCTGAGGCAGCCTGACCGGTTTTCATTTTCCTTACACTTATGGTGAGGTGCTGTTTGGACAAAGACTTTAAAAGTGGGGAGAGAATTTCAGGCAGAGGGAAGGGCAAATGCAAAGGTCTGGAGGTGAGAGTGAGGCTCATGAGTTTCAGGAATGACATGGAGGCCAGTGCGTGGGGTTGCCAGATCAAGCAAATAAAAATACAGGACACCCGGTTAAATTTTATTTATTTATTTTTGGTGGCTGGCCGGTACCCAGTTAAATTTTAAATTTCAGATAAACAATGATTAATGCAATATTTGGGACATGCTTCTGCTAAGAAATTATTCGTTGCTTACCTGAAATTAAAACTTAACTGTGTCCCATATTTTATCTGGCAGCCCTACCAGTGTGCTGGAATGAAATGGGGACAAGAGTCAGGGAGCTGAGGTCTAGGAAGAAAGAGGTGGGGGCTGACCATAGAGGCTTTGACGGCTGTCATCAGGGCACATGCTGAGCCACCGAAGACCCCTCTGTGGCTCTGTGGACAAGAGAGTTCCTGTAGTAACTCAGGTGAGCTCTAAATGGGCTTGCACCTGTGTGGTGGTGGCAGTTCCAACAACACCGGCTGCATAATTCACAATAAATGTTAGCTGTGGCATTCTTGTGCTTGCTGCTGCTGGGCCTACAGTGGGCAGGAACGTTGGCGATGGGGCAGTACTCTGGGGTAGGGAGGTGGAGAGGAGACCTGAACGGAACAGAGAGCTGTGGTTGCCTTTCTACAGCTCACCACGTTAGGTGACACGTCGGAGTCATTGGGACATCTAGAACCCTTGGTTTATTTTTGGTTTGCTTTGTTTTTAAATAATAGTTTAATTGAGATATAATTCATGGAGGTGGAGAGGAGACCTGAACGGAACAGAGAGCTGTGGTTGCCTTTCTACAGCTCACCACATTAGGTGACACGTCGGAGTCATTGGGACATCTAGAACCCTTGGTTTATTTTTGGTTTGCTTTGTTTTTAAATAATAGTTTAATTGAGATATAATTCATGTACCACAAAATTCACCCATTTCAAGTGTGTAATTCAGTGGTTTTAGTATATTCACAGAGTTGTGCACCCATTACCACTAATTTCAGAACATTTTCATTGCCCCCCAAAAACCCCATAGCCATCAGCAGTCACTCCCTATGGCCTCACCCCTTTCCTCCCACATGTCCTAGCAACCACGAGTCTATTTTCTGTCTCTATGGTTTTGCCTGTTGTAGACATTTCATGTAAATGGAGTCATATGATATCTGTCTACCTATGATGTACATCTATATTTATATCTACATTCCACTATTTGAGAAACTGCCAAACTTTTCCAAGGCAGCCGCACTGTTTTACATTCCCGCTAGCAATACATAAGGATCCCAATTCTCTACATCCTCACCAGCACTTGCTACTGCCTGTATTTTTTTTTTTTCCCTTTTTGTCTTTTTTCGTGACGGGTAATGGGATCGCAACCCTCGGTGTCGCGCCCGCACTGCAGGATCCCAATTCTCTACATCCTCACCAGCACTTGCTACTGCCTGTATTTTTTTTTTTTCCCCCTTTTTGTCTTTTTTCGTGACCGGTAATGGGATCGCAACCCTTGGTGTCGCGCCCGCACTGTGCTCAACCAGTGAGCGGATCGGTCTCTATATGGGATCCGAACCCTCAGTGGGAGTGCTGCTGTGCTCTCAAGCGCCTCACTCTACCAAGTGCGCCACCGGGCCGGCCCGCTACTGCCTGTATTTTTTATTACAGTCATCCTAGTGGGTGTGAAGTGGTATCTTACTGTGTTTTTTATTTGCATTTCCCTAATGGCTAATGATGTTGAGCATCTTTTCATGTGCTTATAGTTCATTTGTATATATGCATTGTAGAAATACCTATTCAAATCCTTTACCCATTTTTAAATATAGTTATTTATCTTTTTATTGTTGGGTTGTAAGAGTTCTTTATATATTGTGGATACATGATTTGCAAGCAATTTTTTTCCATTCTGTGGGCTGTCTTTTTACTTTCTTGATGGTGCTCTTTGAAACATAAGAGTTTTAAATTTTGGCTCACATCCATTTTATTTATTCTTTTTTTTGGCAGATGGCCAGTATAGGGATCAAACCCTAGACCTTGGTGTTATCAGCACCATGCTTTAACCAACTGAGCTAACTAACCAGCCAGCCCCTGTTGCTTGTGCTTTTAATGTCATATTTAAGAACCAATGTATAGTCCAAGGACATAAGGATTTACTCCTATGTTTTCTTCTGAGTTGCATAGTTCTGGTTTTTACATTTTAGGTGATCCCTGATCTATCTTTTGTTAATTTTTATATATGGTGTGAGGGTAAGGGGGCCAACTTTATTCTTTTGCATATAGCTCTTCTATTATCCCAGCAACATGTGTTTAAAAAGATTGTTCTTCCCCTCTTGAATTGTCTTGCAACTCTTGTTGAAAATCAATTGACCATAAATGTATGGGTTTATTTCTGGATTCTCAACTGTTCCATTCATCTGTATATCTATCCTTATGTCAGTAGCACACTGTCTGAATTATTACAGCATTGTACTGTCGTAACTTTTGAAATTGGGAAGTGTAAGTCCCATAGTTTCGGTCTTCTCTTTCAATATTGTTTGACTATTCCAAGTCTTTTGCATTTCGACATGCATTTTCAGATCAGCTTGTCAATTTCTGCAAAGAAGCCTTCTGGGATTTTGATAGGGATTGCACTGAATCTGTGGATCAATTTGGGGAGTATTGCCATCTTAACAATATTAAGTCTCCCAATCCATGAACACAAGATGTCTTTCCATTTATTTAGGTATTCTTTAATTTCTTTCAACAATGTTTTGTAGTTTTCAGAGTACAAGTCTTGCACTTCTTTTGTTAAATTTATTCCTATAAACTTCTTAGTCTAAACACAATTTTTACTGTATGTTTGATGTTTCCAGAATTTGGATGAGTTGCATTGGAATCTGTTGTAGAAGTGGGCACCATGAGCCAGGCAGTCCTGTCTTGGTGGGAGGGTGGGGTGGGCGATGATAGACATGGTCAGCAGACTAATGAGGGGTTAGTTTTACACGTCTCTAGTGGAGTGTGGACTGTCTTCTTCTCCATCACCAAAGCTCATTTACACGCCCACCCCCCTACCCTCACACACTAGACACTGTGTGCCAAGTACTTCATCTGGATCATTCAATGCTCAGAACAAGCCTAACTTACAAGGTTTTATGATCATTTCACAGAGAAGGAAACTGAGGCTTAGAGAAGTAAAACCACCCTCTTCGGGGGTGATGGAGCAGGATTCAAACCCAGACACTGGGACTCAAGTCCATGCTCTTAACTACAACCCACACCTGCCTTGAGGCAATCTATTTCTCTATGTGCTTCACTTTTCCTACACAGTTTTTTACAAGGAGGTTTTCAGTTGGATATTCATAAATATGAGTGTAAAACAGTCAGTGTATCAGGCAGTGGATTTCTCCTGGCTCCTGTGGCAATGGTGATGGATTGTTTGGAGATGTTTAGACAAGTGTGATAAATTTTGCCAAAATGTGCCAGCCAATACATTAATTATTTTTAGACTAACCCAGCTGTTTTCTTCCAGGCATCCAAGCAGTGGCATGTGTGGTTAAGATCCTTATTTACGAGTCCCCCAGGATGAAATCCCTTATGTGATGAATCATTACTGCCTCCAGTTGAGAGTTTAGACATTATTTGCAAGGCTGGTTTAGAAGATTTCCTCTTAAGAAATGCTGAGGAGCTGGGAAGGAAGGCTCTTTGCTCCTGGAAAGGGTCCTTTTGCATGAATGGGACTTGTGATACCCTCATACCCCCAGCACTCACCTCTGCAATAGAGTTAAGCAGGTTAATAATTTGCAACCCAGAGTTTGTGGTGAGGAGGCATTTGGAATGACTCCTGCTTGCATAATACGCTGCACTCACACAGCCTGAGCCTTCCTTCTCAGTGTATCTA